CAGCTTTACCTACATCTATTGCCATTTTCTGGGAGGAATATTATATATTGCTTAAACTTAAAACAATATACTATCTGTGTGGACAAACACTTCATGCAACGGTGACATACCACAGGACTTAATTACATTTTTAGGTATGGTCTGTCCTGTCAAAGATATACTTGGGTATATTGTCGCCAAAGCTTAATAAAAATTTATACAGACTTCCTAAAACACCTTATTTTCACTGCAAGATTAATCAAAGCAACCCTTTCGAGATCCTTTTGTTGCAATCTATTCTACTGCAACCCAAGAGCCAATGCAAGAAGCCCCCATGAGAAAAGGTCGTCTTTTTAAGACAGATTCTCCTTTTTTTTTTTGATAAATAAAACCCTCCTCTTTGAATTTAGCAACGCGGTTGTTACAAAGCAGCTCTGACAGCGGCCAGATGGCTGTTCAAAATACCGTGGTGAGCATGGTCTCGGAAAGCGAAGACGCACTTTGAGAGGACTACATTCACCCCAGTATTGTACTACTTCAAAATCAAACTCTGCCTTTGAAAAATGTCAAAGGCAACCATTCAGGAGCAAACACCATACGGTATATTTGTCCTCTTCAATTCCTCTTACAATCAATGGGGGGAAAAAAAAAGAACATTTCAGACCTGAAATGACTGCATGCCGCGTTATACAGTGTTCTCACCGCAAGCTCTGCAAAATGTTAGAGGGTGGCATGAAATTGCTCAGATATGTGTTCGTCTTGGGTTAAAAGGGACAAAAATGATCGTTAGCAGTCCAATCGCCAATAGCTCCGCTTGTAATATTCATTGACACTTACGTTGTGGTTTTACTCTGGGATCCAGGTGTGATATGCAAAGGAAACACTTCCCAGGACGTCCCTAAAACCGTATTTAAAGTAAGCTGAAGTTGATTTTTTCATGACTCTAGTGGTAAAGCTCTGGTTAACGCAGCCCTGTGATGGTGTAACAGCTGCTGAATCCCAACGCGAATAAAAATAAACAGCAGTAAAAATAGTCACGGATTTGCGACTGGGGAAGAACAACCGTGGGGCCAGCAACGGAACCGTCGGAGGCATCGTTTTGACATTTAAAGGTGTTTTTAAGACCTGCACCCTCGTCTCCCCGATGGGTTCCCAGTCCCCCGGCT